TACTCCACAGTTACGCAAATGGGCAGGTGGACAAACGAAGACGCATTCCGAATATGAAACTTGCCAAGAATTTATATACTTTATGGAGTTTTGAAACATGCTTTTGTGTGTTATATAGATTTTTAAAAGAGAATTAAGTTATATTATTACTATAAAACTGAGCAGTCGTGGCCAATTTTTTTCATTTTTGTGCAGACACTACAACATCGCCCATCAAATAAACATTCAAATTCTTGTAGATTTATCTGACAGACATTACACAGACGGAATGCCGGACAGACGGACATGGTTAAATCGATTCCGCGTTTAATGGCAACTAAGAACATGTACACTTTGTGGGGTTTTCGAAACTTCTTTGTGGGCAAACATTGCAAACATTTTGTCAAAATGAATATACCCCTCATTCTTGGGTATTAGGTATAAAAACAAATATTATTGTATGCAAAGTGAATAAAAAAATCTTATAAGCGTTAGCATTAACTCAAGGTGGGGAAATATAAAAAAAATCTTCAATAAATTGCAATTATTATACATCGTCAATTTTGGATATTAGTAAACCAGTTGGAACCATTTTGCAACTCAATATAAAAATGATCCCAACGAATATTTGGGTCAAAAATTTTTAGAAATATGCTTACGAGATGAAAAGTTAGGTGCTTTTACGGGATTGTCTCAACTATTGTGAGCGTGTATGTAAACATCTCAAACTATTCAATTCTAATTGATCAATAAAGTTTCAGCTTCTCATATTCACTATTGCGGCTGCGGCGTTTTCACAAAAAAATACCTTTTCAGTAAAAATGAGTATATGCAGCTTCCTAAAATGATGATATCTTTTAAGTAATTAAAAGAGCGGGAAACCGCCATATATTATTGCTTCATCCAATTTTTATAAAGTTTTTTGTTATATTTTGGAAAACTGGTGCGCCGTGCTAAGTTAAAGAATGATTGGAAACTTGTAAAGCACATAATTAAAACTCTATTCTATTATTTACTCTGAGCAAGCTTAAATAAGCGTATTACTAAAGATAATCATCTTCATCTAATATCAACTTTGGCATCTTACGGGCATTGGACAAATCTAGTAAGGTTTTTGGGGGTATAAAAAAAATACAAAGTCTTTAAGCAAAAAAATTATTGAAAATATTCTTCAATTTTTTTTTTTTTTCGTACGTTGAAGAGATTAATATGAAAACTATGGATTTGTAGTCGCTACAACTCAAATGCAAAAAATATTGATTGTAATTCAATGAAGTACTCAGACTCTGCCGGTCCTACAAAGTGCGTACGTTTACTGTGTCTACTGTGTATATTTACGGTGTGTATTCATAATTAAGATAAAAAGATGTCGAGAATTTAATAAAAATAATTTTAATACCTTCAAGTTAATTCCACGGTAAGATGTTTTGCTTAGCTGTTTTAAAGTTTTGATAATAACGTAAAGTATATTCGAATTGAAGATATAGTAAAGCTTAGGCGGTGGATATCTACTATTTGCCTTAAGGTGTGTTTTTTAATAAATGTATTTTTTCTGACTTGTTTTTGTTTAATTTAAGTCATAATTTTCAGGTTTTCTTATCCATTCGTTCTACCTACGATTATAAAATGCAAGTATGTTAATACTGTTAGATTTCTTGCAACACTTGGAAACATCTCTCTAAACTCTTAAAAAAGCAATCTTACGTGTATATATATATATCTAATAAGGAATATATATACAATATACATATATATGTATATATTCCTTTGTTGGAGCCCATACAAATTACTTTAATTAGGAAAGAAAACTAAACTTTGGTACAAATAATTTTCCCTAACGTGTTTCAATTAATCAATACAAAATTACTTACATGAAGAAGTCTTCCTCCCCAAACTGCAGTTGTGGACAAACTCTCACTATAAAGCACATTCTCTGCGACTGCCTTAACTTTTCCTTGGCTAGAAGTATTGCATTTGGAACGATTAACTCTTTGGACATTCTAAAATCAGCTTCAGAATCGAATATCAATTCTATATATTACTTTATTAATTATTTAAATTAGAGCCGATAGCCTGTGTTGCTAGTGCTCAATGTCTTGTTTTTTTAGTCTAAGAATTTATTTCATTAGCCTAAAATTATAATAATAATAATAATAATACTTACATGAAAATTAAATTTTATTTACTTTGATTTATTTCAAATGTAGAACTGATCATAACCTACATTTTTAATATATTTCGAATGTAAAGAGCTATCAAATATTCGATATAAGCCAAGTATACATTTCTGGCATTTTCTTGTTTACGTTTTATAAGTGAGCGGTTTTTAATTTTTCATTTACTTCCTAGCATTTCTTTGTCATCATTATTGTTAAGATATTAAAAATTAAAAACAAAGAACAACTACAAAATGTTAATGTTATGTATTCTAATATTTTCAAGAATTTCAACAATCTGAACCTCTTTTGTTTTCCCATACAATTATATTCTACTTTAATAATTTGAAGATGGGGATGAATATATAAATAATAAAAACTTTTTTAATAAAGATAAGTAATGGTTCGAGGAGGACATTAAATGCGCAAATGATGCATTACTGGATGTGTAATAACCTTTATGGATTTTAAAAAATCGGTAAGAAAATCTTTTTAAGATGTTGACCGAAGTTTTTCATACTAACCATAAATGTCATAAAAAAATCTTGATTGAGATATGAGGTAAAGAAATTTATTAAAGCCAAATATTTTTGATTAGACAGATATGAATGCGTGAATTATAAATTGAGTCTTTAGCAGACTTCGTGACTTCTACGATACATTTGTTCCTTTGAAACACAGCTTTTGTTCAAAATGTGCTTAATATTGGACATATTCAATATGTGAAAAGCGTGTATTTTATCATCTAATAACTTCACAAACATAAGCTACACGTTCCTCTTCAAATAAAGTGTAACATATATATAACAATGTATAACAATTCAAATATTTCCGTTAGACATGTTTAAAATTGTTCGGTTAAAAGAACCAAGAAGAATCACCTAACTATCAGCCGTAACTAATAATAACAAAAAAAGCAAATTTTAATAAAAGAAAATTGTAACCATTTGGAAGCGTTATTTAAAAGCTTGCTGCTCCATGATTAATGCATCGATTTTAACACGTTGAGGCGTCGGAAGAAAACTAAAACAGTACGCATAAATTTAAAGAAAATGGTGCACCTGTGTGAACATTTTAAACAAGTAAAAGATCCTTATATGCCATCCATTTTACTATTTAATTTTGCCTAGTATGAAGCGACTCTGTTGGCTGATTAGGATTATTTTCTGCATCAGATTTGCAAAAAGATCTTGTCAAGTGTCACAGTTGGAGTGAATTTAAATTGACTTACATATATCGCATAAACGAAATTTAACTTCACATAATTTATAAGAATCTTAACTGAAGTGAAGATAGCCCACCAAGATAACCCACATTTCATGGTTCGTGTCTTCACTAAATATTGTCGTTGCTACGTTGCAATTTATTGCGAAATACACAGCAATAAAGTAAAGTAAGTATTAAAGTTAAATAATCTTAGCCAACGTGCACATATAAAATATGCTAAGCCGCTAACTAGGAGCAGAAAACCAAAAATGCCTAATTATTGCTAGCAAATCTCATGCAAAGTTACGTTACAAATACTGAACGAATGCAATGTTAAAATCGTGTTATAACCATTCTTAGAGACATGACCCGCCTATAGATTTTCGATATGTCGTGAAAAATGCTAAAACCTATCAGAAAAACCTAATTTCATTGCCCTGGTCCTGGTCCATCACCTCGAAATTCGCCAAAAACCGAGCCTCTCCATATACACAAGACCATAAAGGCAAAATGTTACAATAAGGTTGCTAATAAAATATTCGCTCTTATATACATATTGTTTTTGTTTTAGTTGCTAATGAAATGTTCGATTTTATACAGATAATGTTGTTGTCTTTTTTCAGCATGTATACTTAAGATTAGACATTACGGGCTTATGTTTGCAATAGTAGCGCGTTCTTCCATGCATTTGCGAAAGAAGTTGTATGCATATTATTCAGTTGTCGACATTTTTCTAAATATGAATCGCGTACAATTTTTTTCAAAACATTCTATAGGCAAGTAGAATATATGCTACGGCAAAAATGTTCGTGCGCGATTGACTGCCTGCTTTTTCTTTCTCATTATTTATATCGGTAAAAATTCAGACTTTTGGTATGACGGCGTATATTCTAAGATTATGCCCTTAAACTTATTTTATTTAAAGACAATATGGTACCTAAAATAATTGCAATATAATTACAAAGTGAATTTTAAGTATATCGATTTTCTAGTCATCACACATACAATATCCAGAGACTGGGAAAATAGATTAAAACTATGTTAGTAATCAATTTTAGTCCTCTTGAAAGTTAAGTATGTTAACTTTGTACGGATATATGTAACACTCAGAATATATTAACTTTTGTTATGCCGTTTGCTTCAAAATTATTTTTCGAGCCGATTTAAGCCTGCCTGACTGTCTGTCTATCTGCTAATTTGTTCGATGTCTGACCATGTATTTTTTTGTTCAAACTACAGGTGGAGATGTTGTAATGAAATTTCGTGCGTTAACATATTTTGGCCTGGGGACGAATCCTATTGTTAATAAGTTGGATTGAATCATTTTTATGACCACCTTCTATATTTCGCCCGATTCGAATATGGAAAAAAACTGCAATTTTTAATATTTGACACACAAAGTGGTGCGAAAACTTTGGGAAAATAGGGCCATCTTTCGGGTCCTCTCCCCTATAAGCATTCCTATATAATAAGCTTTTAAATATGAACAACGTGGAATTTTGTAATATAAATTTGTCCAAAGTAACGTTTTAGCATACAAATTTGCTGTAGATGTTCGGGTCCTATATGTGTGTCCGGCTTTAAACACTTTTCCCATATAAAAGTCTTTTAAAAAATAAACGCTTTTATGGTAGTAAGACCCATTTTAGATATTTTAAACAAAAATAAACAACCACTGAAAATGATTTCTTAACAAAGAATCACTTTGCCAAATTTGGTCTGCGTCTGTTGATGTTTTGGGGTCCGCCTGTTTCGCACACAAGAGCTTTTCTGAAAAGTGAGCATTTAGATGGCGAAAACGTATGATGTTAGATATATTATGACGAAAGTAAATGAATTGAAGCATTGTGTTAGGCAAAGCAGTGTAGGTTCAACCTAGTCCTACTATAACATTTCTGTTTTTCTCAGTCAGAAAGATAATTACTTTAGGGATTCATCGGTGAGTTCTTTTAAACATCACTTAACAAAAAGAGGTACTTCTATTTGCAATAATTTCTTTTGCAATCAGAGAAAAAGTTCCATGTAAGGCTTAATATCGTGAATCTCAATTCTTATCACCTAACGCATCCGCAAAATAATCATCATCATTTTCCCTGAAGACCTTTAACAATTACTCATATAAGCGCAACAAAAATGTTGATATTTTCCCACTGCTTTTGTTAACGGCAAATGTGAACACAAATATATTATACAGCTGGTAGCTATAGTAGCATTAGATATGAAGATTAGTTTAAAACTTTGGCTCCTAACATTAGCACTTATTCCATTAGCCCGGTCAGGGAACTGATAAGCAACAGACCATTTTCAATAGGAATATTTTATACCTCATTAAGTTTATTTTCAGCATTTCAAAGCATTCAATCGAAACAAAAAGACGCAAAATCACAGTTTACTTGAATAACAAAGGTGCAGCAGCAGCAACATAGTGAGCGGGAGCAGCGGCAATATAAGGAGCGGTAGCAGCGGCAACGAAAGGTGCGGCAACGGAATGGGTAACGGTGTGAGCATTATAGCTTGAGGCGTAAGGCGCAACATAAGCTGCATGACCTGTCACAGCGGCAGCAGCAATAGTAGTATCAACTAAAGGAGCGGCCGCCACAGGAGCTGTATATGTTACCACACCAGGCTTAGCAGTTACGATAGCCATCAAAGTAAAGCAGCAGGCAACAAACTGGCAAAAAAATAAGCGTAGTACGATTATGTATACTTTTTGTATTCTCCGCCGCAACAACAACTTACAATTTTAAACATTTTTTTATTTTGTGTTTTACTGATTCGTAAACGATTAAAGCTAAAAGTTAACTATAATAAATCGAGGAGTAGGTTTGTTTATATACCGACGTATGCATAGATTTGAACCATTGAAGGTAGCTTCTAAAGCAATATTAGCTAACGTGTATGGCCGTCATTTCAAGTAATTGTTATGCAAGTCCGCATACGCACATGCGTGTTAATAGTCTTCTTTTCTCTCTTTTTCAATTGTTATATTTTAGTTATAATTCAATTCAAGCCTCTCATGCAAAACAGCGCATATATAAAATTTTATGTGTACATAATCTATGTCGTTTTAACCTTGACTAATTTCTTGGCATGAATTCACAAAATAAAGTATTTAAACTTTTTCAAAAAATTTACTGTAAAAGATGCAGCACTTTATTTATTTTTTACAAACTGTTGTGTCATTTAGTTGATTCAAAAATGTATTTCGATAGTAACGGTTAATGGTATCATTATCTCTTACTTTTAGTACGCTTACTTTCCGCCATATAGACACCATACCATAGTACGAGTATTATTTACATTGTGACTTATACTGACCATATTTCCAGCATTATTTATTGAAATTAGCCGTTTTAATAACCTCACATCATTTGTATGATTCTATGCTCGTTTTAGAATTACGTTTAACTTCGAATAACTTTAATTTCTGTCATTATTTCGACTATCACATCAAAGAGTACTTCGAACAATTATGGAGAATTATGGAAATTTGACTTCAAATATTGAATTCAGTTAAGAAAACTTTACTTCGCTTATTCAAGGTCGTTATAACCAATTTTTGAATATATGTTAGGCGTTTAAACAACAGATGAAAATCGAATCGATGTAAACATTTTATAATGGTCTAAATTATAAATAGAAAGCAGGAGAATGACATTGATGACGCGACCTCATATACTAAGCGCGATTTTTAAAAATTCACAATCGCAATGGTTCATATAGCCAAAGGAAAATTTGACAAAGAGTTCTTTTAATAAAAATAGAAAACAAATTTATAAAATAAAATGTGCATGACGCGTGTCGCTTTGATTTAATTACTAAATCTATAATTGAAGGTTTGCGCGGTATAACAAAGCTTACAGATAAAATGCTATTTAAAAATGACTGCGTTAATCTTTCAAGGAAATGTCATAGCAGATGTAATTAAAACCAAAATGTCAACTATTTAGTGATGTACCTATTGAGCATTAACTAGAGGTTCAATTTCATATCATAAATATTAAAAAAGTAACAATATTTCCGGCCTTATTGTAAGCAGAGGTTTTCTCATGTATTATTATTATTATTATAATTTTAGACTAATGAAATAAATTCTTAGACTAAAAAAAAGACATTGAGCACTAGCAGCACAGGCTATCGGCTCTAATATGAATAAATGTACATTAGATAATGAGCTTAGTAGTATTAATAAAGTAATATATTGAATTTATATTCGGTTCTGAAGCTGGTTTTAGAATGTCCAAAGAGTTAATCGTTCCAAATGCAATACTTCTAGCCAAGGAAAAGTTAAGGCAGTCGCACAGGATGTGCTTTATAGTGAGAGTTTGTCCACAACTGCAGTTTGGGGAGGAAGACTTCTTCAAGATCCATTGGCGAGTTGCGATAGTATGACCAGGGCTAATTCTCGAAAATGTTTGGATCTTGGGTTTCTCAACGTTTGTTGGATATAAAGATGGAGTTAATTGGGGGTTAACGGAAGAATAGTGTTGATGATGGTATTGTAAATTTCCTTCTGCAATTTTCTCTTTAACTTTTCTTCCAATGTATCTTTGAGGATCCAACTTTTCCATGACATCATCCATAATTAGAGGAGCAGAAGCAGCTCGATCAGCTTGCTCATTTCCCAATAAACGGATGTGACTTGGCACCCATAACATTTTAATTTTTCCGTCGGGTGCTGTAATTATATTCCTTAATTTGTTGATGGTGCTCCATCTCGAAGTCGAAGGGTTCCGAATAGCATATAATACAGGCAAACTGTCGGTAACAATGACGGTTTTGAGTTTGCTTTTGTGGACAAGGTTCGCAGCGTGAAGGATAGCTCTGGCTTCGGTTGTGAACGTTGAAGTACTTTCGTCAAATATGTGATTGAGAAGATTGTAGCATCTACCACGGCACAAACAGCAGGTAGACCAGAAGATTTTGAGTCGTCTGTTTATAAAAGATTTCAACCAGTACTCTCCAATACTTGGGGTTTTTCAGCTATTAGATTCCTGAAGACGTAATTTGGAGTATCTTCTTTTTTGTGCACAGACAGCGAAATGTCAAAAGAACAGTCTTTCAAAATCCATGGAGGTTTAATACCAAAAGAGCGGGAAATTTTTAAGGGAATATTCAATTCCTTTGCGACGTACAAACAATGGTCGGTTGCAGATTGTGACTTTAGAATTTTCTTCGCAATAATAATCTTTCTCACGTCATCACCGAGAATAGATTTGTTTGAATTAAGAAGCTTGGGGACTATTTTAGCTTTTAACTCATAAAGTCTGTTTTCTAAAGTTGGGAGACCAGTTTCAATTATAATATTATTTATGGGCGTCGTCCGAAAAGCATAACAACTTGCTCTGACTGCTTGGTGCTAGACCGGTTTAAGGATGTTGATTTTAGATTTGCAGCTATTGCCATAAATTATCAAAGCATAGTCAATCTTGCTTAACACAAGCATTTTGGTAAGATAAGCAATAGTGTTAATATGCGCATGGCTTCTCTAAGCAACGTACTGTATGAAATTCACCCTTGTTAAAATAGAATTTTTTAACCGACGACAGTGTGCTTTCCAACGACGCTTGTTGGAAAAAGTGAGCCCGAGAATATGCAGCGTCTGCACGTTTAGCACTGGTAAGCCATTAATATGCATCAGTAGATTTCCTGCATCGCACATTTGTTTTCGACACATGTGCATTTTTTTTGATTTTTGTATAGAAATTTTAGCCCCTGAAGAGTTTGCCCATGCGGAGATCTCTCGTCCAATAGATTCGAGGATGTTGATTGGTTTCGTGTTGTCTTTTCCTTTTGTAAAAATGTATACATCGTCCGCGTATTCCACTCGTGTTCCACTCTTGATACACGCCAAAGAATTTTGCTAATTTCGTTGAAGGCGATCTGGAAGAGCATGACAGAGAGAGGAGATCTTTGCGGAATGCCATTCTTTAGCGGAAAGGAATCAGAAAGATGATTGTTGATTCTAACTTTGAACCGCCGATGCGACATGACTGATTTGATTTAGTTGCAGAATTTGGGTCCAACATTCCATGTTTTCAAGGGTCTTAAAATAACATGAAGACCAACTCTCTCAAATGCTTTTTGAGAGAACTGTTACGTGATTTCGTTGTCGGAAATTGCTTTGCTTATGAAATAATCAATATGTAAAAGAGCGTCGATGCACCCTCTACCACGCTTGAAACCAATTTGTTGCTTTGTTATCAGGTCCGTGGAGTCAAGAAACCAAGATAAACTAGATGCCATAATCTTTTCTCATGTAAATCGTTTGACTCGTATGATACTTCATTCTAGATCTAATAACAACCGCTGTTAGATCTTCTTATTTAAAGCATTAAATTCGAAAGAGCTTATGGACCTTGTCTGCAGGACGCGGACATAATGCGGCGTAAAAATTTAACTAAAAACCAAAAAAAAAAAGGAAATTCATAGCATTCTGAAATTGTCTCTAATGAAAGGACTAAAATGTTTACGTTCGCTTCGATATGAATCTTGGACGCCTTTTACTTTAAAAGAAATTGCAAGCTTTTTATAAACGATCCTGAAAGGTATTTTTCCCATTTATAGCTGAACATTATCTGCTTACCCAACTTTCTGATTGTTGAAAGCAATATTTTCAGATTCTTTTTAGCCATATGAGGTTTTGCGTTTTGATTTCTAAACATAAACTAAGTTCAAAATACTCAATACTAGACCGTCTACGTGGGTACTAGACAGACGCGATGAAAGGAGAAGGACAACCGTAAAAACGGAGGCGAAGTCAATTCCGAATCTCCAATTGCAGTGCAATACAGTGTGTATAATATACTAACGGAATAGGATCATATTTATGGTGACTTACCATATACCGTAGCACCGTATTTCGAAAAAATCCTTATAAGACAAAAATCGCTGAGCAATAGTATTTTGGCGAACTTGATGTAAAAACATTTGAATTGGATGGGCCAATTTTTTCTGCCCCCTCCAATTTAGCCATTACTGCGAAAAGTAAGCCTTTGCAAGACAAAGAAATTCCATTGTCAGTAAACATCCGCAGAAATAGTTCCGTTCGGTTTTAGCAGCTCGTAATATACTATACCTGGCTTATCCTACCATAAGCACAGCAAAATTCTCGTGCACTGACCCAGGACCGTTTGCGCTTAGAACTTTCTTAGTAGACACACAATCTCAATATGCCACAAAAGACTCTTTTGTTTTTGCCGGGCAAGCAACGAAACCGCGATGTTGAAGCGGTTCAAAATGGCATTTTCAGTCAATTCATATGACAGTCATTTTCCCTCCTATTGAATCTTTCCCATGGCATTTCTACCATCTATTAAAAATGCATACTCATGATTAACGTAGTCTGTCAGTGCTGACTGTTAAAAATAGTAAAGCCGCCTTTTCCTTTAGGTTTTCAGACGTCCCCCTTGTCGCCATGTTGGACAAGTCGAAGAAGCTGCACTTGCAAGTGTGGTCACCCTCTCCATATTCTCGCCGAGAGATTTCCTAGAGCTATGTCTTCTTTTAGGGTATTAATTCGGACTGAATATATGGAAATTTTGCTAAACAAACCAGTTCGGCCAGTTGAATCTTTAATTAAAGAATTAACCCCTCGGGATGGCTCCTTCATTCTCAAAAAACTAAATGTTCCTTCCCAGTAACTTTCATTTACAAAAATGTTAAGGACTTGACCTCAAAAATCCGCTTTACTTTCCTAAATTTAGTCAGCTCGCAGGTTTCCTTTTTGGTCTTCACTGAAACTTGCTTAAATCATGATTTACATTCGTCAGAACTTTTTCACAATTCTTCCAGATTTTCAGAAAGGATCCA